AACACCATTTTGTAAAAGCTGACTTTCATAGAGCAGTTAGTTGAGGCAGATAATAATCAGTTAGGCGGAGGCTATGCATTTTAGCTTTCCTCCGTGATAAAGTCTTTTAATAGCTCATGCAACTGTGGTGACTTTGGCTCTTGAAGGTTACTGTGAAGTGAAGGACGTAAAAGTTGGTGATCTGCTCATATCTCAGATATAGCCAAGGACATATTCACCTTTGGTGTCCTAGATCAGTGAAGGTTCTCATTTATCCACGTTATAATATACTGTGGCTAGTCACATTCAACTGAACCAACTTCCTATCAAGTTCTTGGACAATCAGCATCTTTGTTGCACAATCCTTTGTGAAGGGATTAAAGTGACACTCAACTCAAGAGTTAAATCTTAAAAACACATTCAGGTACCTTATTAAAATAAATGTATCTTATTTGTGTATCACTTGGCCGTAGATCCTCAAATCATCTCTGAATTGGTGCTGACACTGTCCATTCTTCTGGAGGGGGGCTACTTTTGTTTCCCATGGTCCCTGTGTGTGTTCGCCCACCGAGCGCCCCACAAGGCACTGCACAGTGCCTTGTGAAGCCCTGATTGGGTAAAGCAATGCACCTGACCACAGGTCAGGTGCAAAACATTGCCCAATCACAGCACAGTGCACGCTGAGAGCCATGATTGGGAAAAGTAATGATGACTTTGCCCAATCATGGCTCACACAGCTACTGTAAGTCCTTTCAGGTGCCGTACAAATGTAAACATATGGGCAGAGCTAGCTAGCTGTCACTGCTAGCTCCGCCCAATTGTTTATATTTTGACGGCATCTGTCAGAATGCCATCCTGCGGCGGGAGTTAGTTGCGAGCGTGCGTCAGTTTTTAAAAATTATTTATATTTCTCGTTCTCGGTTCAAGGGTCTGGTTAGGAATTTTAGGAGGACCCCACATTATTTTCCCCCCATTTTTGGGGGTGGGGTTCTCCCTCAAAATTCTTACCAGACCTTAAGGGCCTTGTATGACTTTGAATATTTTTTATGGGGTCCTTCTTATAATTCCTACCAGACCTTAAGGGTCTGGTATGACTTTTAGGAGCAACCCCATGCTTTTTTCCCCCTTTTATTTAAAAGGGGTCCCTCCTAACTTTCCTACCAGACCTGAAGGGTCTGGTATTGTTTGGGAGGGGGAACCGCACACTTTCTTTTCTTTATAAATGTCATTTTTTTCTTTATAGATGTAATTTCTTTCTTTATAGATGTCATTTTTTTAAATACATGTAATTTTTGCTGCAGCAGGTTCTATCCACTACTTCACAGGCAGTTAAAGGGGACCCCCCAAGCACAATATTTAAAGGAATTTTTCATTTTTATTGTTTAAGTGATGTTTGAATTACTGCTCCTTTAAAAACTGTATTTTTTAAGAGTGTTTTTTTCATTGATTCATGTCCCCCAGGGCAGTACCCGAATCCCCATACACTTTTTTTTATGGCCAATAACTTGCATATAAGCCTTCAAAAAGGGGACATTTGATTTTCTGAGTTCTGGTCCCATAGACTTTTATTGAGCTTGACGTTCGAGTTCAAACTTTTTTCATGTTCTAAAGTTCGAACTCGAACCAAACTTGGGTGTATTCAGCCCATCACTAGTTGTAAAGTAGCCACCACACCAAGCTCCTACCTGTGATAGACTATAACTTCAACACACCACAAATTAGTAAACTAGACATGAGATTGTAGTCCATCATCAAGGTGAGTTTGGAGCTGTGGCTACTTTACAGCACACACAGGGACCATGGGGAACAAAAATAGCCACCCTCCAGAAGGAAGGACAGTGCCACCATGAATCCAAAGTTGATTTGAGGATATACAGCTGAGTGATATACTAATAAGCTCCATTTGTGATATTAGTTAAGGTACGTGAAAGCATTTTTAAGATTTAGCTCCTGAGTTTAGTGTCACTTTAAGGTAACTGAGTAATCTGTGTGAATATAAATGTTCCCGATATTGATGGGAACCAAAGAAGCCAGGTGAATGTGACCAACCAGTTCTAGCTTTGGTCTTCCACCTTGCATCTCCATAGGCAGATTGTACACTGGAGGGCAGAAACACATTTGATATTGGCCTGTTCTTTAACCAGTAACTCATATCACACATTTCTCTGTCTAACCTATTTTAAAAGTCAACATACAGCCAGTACCACTCCAAAAGTCTACACAGAGCTCGAGTCAAATATTCATTTTTGGTGACATAAGCCAGGCACTTGCACGCATAAAGACATGATGGTACAGTTTCTCATGTTATTACAACATTAAGCCTGATTGGATGGCTAAAATGTTGGCGGACTCTACCAGTTGGCAGTCAGCTGAGTTGGGAAAAATACTAGCAAGGCTTACATCAATATCTCCAGAACGGAATCAGATAAGAATCTGCAGTGAACTTTGCAGTTTGTGTAGTGTATTCTTTTCTAAAATGGAAATTTACTTTTAAAGGTTTGCTTAGAAGAAAGACATAAAGATTGCCGAAGTAAGCTGACCTTTGACCCTGGAATTTTGTTACAGCTGGTTTGATATATGTATTTAAATTAATTGTTTTTTTTTTAAGGCCCTCTTTCAGTATCTCATGCAGTTTTGTGTACTAGCCCAAGAAAAGGACTGTAATACATTAACCAAAAGGTTTATAGGGGCTAATTCTAGATGCTATCAAACGTGGTGTTGTGTAAAAAAAAATTCAAAATTCCATTCTTAAAGTGGACCTTGCACCATCTTGTTAGAAGTGTGATGTCACTATTGCCCAGGGGAATGGTAAGTATATTTCTTTTCTTTACAGTTTGGCACCATTTTGACAACGGGGCTGGGGGTTGGAGAAGATTATTGAGTGGGCCCTATGAAAAGGCAGGTAGCAATTGTGAAAGTACATTACCTATTAGAAACCAATCCAATCATGTTTAGTGCCGCGTACTACAGAGTGGTAGAGAGCACACTGCACAGTGTTTGAATTGAATGAACTTTTTTTTTTTAAAGCTGAACAAGTTGCCGATTGTAAACGGCAGATTAGGGATTCCTGCTGCAGGAAAACGCAAGTTTGTGACGCAGGAATCTCTAATCACACCTGAAATATACTGTAGGTGTCAATGGGGCTTAATATACACATACACTCAGTGGTGTATTTAGGTTTGGGGCTGCCCTAGGCAAGACAAAACTCAGGCGCCCCCCCCACCCACACTACTGCAGAGAACCTGCAGGATCTCAGGGGGGCTCTGCAGGATCTGTGGTGGGCTTTGCAGGCTGCAGAGCCCCCTATGAATCTTGCAAATCCCCCCTGAGACCCGGCAAAGCCCCCCAAAGATCCTGTAATGCCCCTTGAGACCCGACAAAGCCCCCCACAGATCCTGCAGCATCTCAGGGGGGTTGTGCAGGATCTGTGGTGGGCTTTGCAGGCTTCAGAGCCCCCTATGAATACTGCAAAGCCCCCCTGAGACCTGGCAAAGCCCCCCACAGATCCTGCAGAGCCCCTGAGACCCTGCAGTCTGCAGGATCTCAGAGGGATTGTGCAGGATCTGTGGTGGGCTTTGCAGGCTGCAGAGCCCCTATGGATCCTGCAAAGCTCCCCTGAGACCTGGCAAAGCCCCCCATAGACCTGGCAAAGCCCCCCACAGATCCTGCAGAGCCCCTGAGACCCTGCAGTCTGCAGGATCTCAGAGGGATTGTGCAGGATCTGTGGTGGGCTTTGCTGACTGCAGAGCCCCCTACGGATCCTGCAGAGCCCACCAAAGGGTATTGCACAGCCCACCTGAGACTCTTTGGTGGGCTGTGCAGAATCTATGCTGGGCTTTGCCAGCAAAGTCCTCTTACCTTACACGGCCTGACCTCTTTGGAACCCGGCCTCCGTGTCATCTTCGCCACCCGACTGGAACATTTTTGCAACAAATCTTGATTGTAGACAAAGTCTTGGTGCACGACTTGCCCATGAAGATTCATCCTAGAAGAGAGTCATAACAACATCCTATCTAGCTGCTTTACACACTTAGGTATGAGGCCTAGTGCTCTCCACCTAACAGTCTTCTTCAATGTTATCTCTAAACACACACTATAGTGGATGAGAGAGATGAGAAAAAAAACTTCTTCAGGAACACACTAAAAACGTTCCACTTTTCTGAATATCATCCAGCACACACACATGGGTGGCTGAAGGCCTCTTCTTGTAACCCAACTAAAAAACGGTTACCAACTTAAACAGGAGCAGTCCCATCCATAGCAGAAAAAATGGAATCAAAGGCACAACAAACAGAGGAAGCCTCCTCTCCTACTTGTAATACTGAGGCTCAGGCAAAGTGACCGGTTTTCCCTTAGCATCAATGGTGGTGATACTTATGATTTGACCCTCAACTTTATCTTTAAAGATGTATCTGCCATACTTCCAGGTTTCCATGCAAGTGTCAAACTTGTTGATGAATAAGGGATCTAGTCTCTTGTTCCGGTAAGGCTTAAGAGAGGAAGGCAGGACTGCAACATCCAACAATCTGACCGTCCTATTATGGATGAATACCTGCAACGTACAGCTAAATTTATAAGAAAAAAAAAAAGTAAAACTGACCCCAAACCATAATAGTTTTCCTTACATTGTATCTAATGAATATGGGAGGTTTTAAAATCTGATATACTGTAGAAGATCCACTGGATCACTCTTCCGCCTGTATCTTTTGAGGTATCCAGCTGTAAGATCTGCTCACTGGAATTTCCCTCTCTGCCCTTCATTACCATGCTGCCTCACTCCTAATCCATGCTTTGTGAATAAAAAAAAATCCAGTAGAGCCTCTCAGATAGGCAACAGAGAGTGTGTGGAGCTGGGAATTCCATTGCAGAGATTAAACTGACTATGGACCCTGACTGAAATGACACATCAGTGGATGACTCTCTCTCTCTCAGCTGGTCAACACTGAAAAATATTGTGTAAACATCACAGATCCTGATCCAGTTATAATCTCATATAGAGCAATTTTTTATTTGTATTTCAGGTTTGTCTTTTGCATTGCTGTCGGCAGTTCCCGTTGGATTTGGTCTGTACTCTTCCTTCTTCCCTGTAATAATATACATGTTCATGGGGACATCCAGACATCTTTCAATTGGTGAGTAAATCAGCTTGCTATTATTCTTCTCTTACCTGGTGCACTGTATATAAAACAGTCAATGGACATCCCATGAGCATAGTTACATAGTTACATAGTATTTGAGGTTGAATAAAGACATTAGTCCATCAAGTCCTACCTATTAGGATCTCATTCTGGGAGTACCTGTACCCCTGTATATTACGGTCCCTTAAGAAATCGTCCAAAAGTTTCTTGAACAATTCCACATTATTTGCTGAAATCACCGCCTGTGGCAGTGAGTTCCAGACCCTAACTGATCTTACTGTGAAGAACCCCCCTCGCCCCTTGTGCTGTTATTTTTTTTCCACCAATTTTAGGTGGTGGCCTCTAGTTTTTGTAATGGAGTTAATTTTAAACAGTTTATCGCTAATGTTGCTACCACCATTGAACATCTTGTACATGGAAATCATATCCCCCCCTTAATCTCCTCACCTCCAATGTGAACATGTTTAAATTTAGTAGCCTTGTCTCGTAGCTCTGGTCCTCCATACCCCTAATTAGTTTGGTTGCCCTCCGCTGGACTTTTTCCAACTCAAGGACATCTTTTCTTAGTACTGGTGACCAGAACTGGACCGC